TACAGCTGGTTACAAAACAAACATTAAGCGTGCACACGGCTTCTCATCTTACCTGAGCAAATAGGAAAGACAGCAGGCTGGGGGCTAATGCAGTGTGTTGGGTAAACACCAGGGACACTGGAGAATGTTCTTGGCCTGCTCTCCTACCCCCAGGTCTGGATGTGATTCTGCTGCCTGCAGAGGGAGAGAGCCCAGGGCTCTTTTGCTCTTCTCGCCACTTTCTCTCCCGCCAGGGGTGAGAGGAAACTGAAATTCTCTTGTACCCAGGTTCTCCTCACAAATGTGTCAGTCACTTGCTTGGGCAGAAGCGGCAAGAGAGGCAACTAAGGGAACCACGGGGAGAGGAACCGACCACTTGGGGTGGGGGGCAGCAGCAGGGTCCCAAGATGACTTTTGCTTATAAAGGAAGAGGTGTTAATGGCGGGGGCCACAGATGATATAAATTAGGAAGGACAAAGTGGCATTGTGTCCCATCAGTAACCTAACCCACTGCCACAGGGTCTCATGCATCTTGGTGGCCAGGAACTTCTGGCAAATTCCTAATCAGTGAGCTCTTGCCAGGGTATGTTTTGAATTTATAAACTCTGTGTGTGTGTGTGTGTGTGTGTGTGTGTGTACATGTGCAAGTGTGCTTAGGTGGGTGAGACACTGACTAATGAGTTTCATAAATAAATGTACTCTGTGCCTGAGGTATTGGAGTTTAAAATAAAATACTGTCTTATTGTAGTTTTTAATCAAAAGTGTCAGCCAGGCAGTGGTGGTGCATGCCCTTAATCCCAGCACTCAGGAATCTCTGTGAGTTTGAGGTCAGCCTGGTCTACAGAGTGAGTTCCAGGACAGGCTCCAAAGCCACAGAGAAACTAAAATAAAAAAAAGTTAAGTGTCATTATCAGGTAGTGTATAACTAAACTTAAAACTTAATCCATATGCCCTTTGATTCTGTAATTTAGCTTTAAGGAACCGATCTCCCAATCCTAGCTATACAAAAAGGATATAAGAAATTGAAAACAACCATTGTCTGTCAGAGGGGCTGCATAAGTGATGGGGTTCATCTTAGGGTATGCAGTGGATATCTGAGATGGGGTGAAGATGTGCAACAGTGCTCCCCAAGCGTACCCGGAAGGGGCTGGGCATATGTAGGCACACATGATTGCACTGTATCCGTAGATGCTTCTAGGAAGCTATCGCAAAGATGTAACGGTGGATCTCTCTGTGGACAAAATGAGAAGACTGACTTCCACACGCCTCCAGGAGGTTTGCCTTCCACTCCCTCCCACTTTGCACTACTGGAAAATCCTAACTGGCCAGGTGCATACGTCGTTTTCCAAAAGTATTTTAATGAGAACATCACTCTTCCCCATTAGTTGGGGTTCCCCTCTCGCTAGCGTCAGTGTTCAATGGAATAGACGACGAAATGTCCGATCTGTTGCGTGAACTAGGAATGGTGTCAAGGGCTAGGGGACGAGGCACATTTCCATGGGAGTGGATTTCAGTCACTAATGAATAACAGAGAACATCGATGGGTTTGTTTGAGCACCTGGAGAGCTACATCAGAAGCTTAGCGCCTCTCCCAGCTAGCCACGCCAAAGCCCTCTCCATACCGAGGGCTTGCCCTGCCTTCCCAATGGATAATTAAAGGCCTCTGGCCTTCAGTTCTTTAGAGTTACCAGCACCCTTTTCTCTTTGCCTGTGGTTGACAAAGGGGGAAAAATGTTTGGGAGGATAAACACTCGCTGATTTATTTACATTAAATAATACTTTGCTCGATCTCAGCGGCCTTTCAAAAGCAGCCATGTGACAATGACTCAGCAGTGTTTGTGTGCCATCATGCTTGTGGGTGGGGCACTCTAGAGGAGAGAGACCAAAGGTTTTCTTTTGAGACCTGTCCCTAATTCAGCACTGGGTGTTCGGAAGAAAAGATACGGAGCACTACCCTCATTTAAGAGCTTGTTGCGCTGGGCTTTCTCTTGTAATGTTTGCTGCAAATGGCCTAAGTATTCTGTCTGTTCTCTGTTCAGACTGCAGACTCCTTAGGCCAGGCATAGTGGCCCACGCCTGTAATCCCCATATGCTGGAAGCAGAGGTGGACGGGTCCTCCAAGTTCCAGGCCTTCGCAGACTGGAGTTCTAACCTAACCAGGGTTACATATGAGACTTTGTCACAAACACACCACACCAAAGCACCAAAGGCTGTATAAGCTCTTTAAGTGTGAGAAGGGTGTTTCCATCCACCCATCCACCCATCCACCTATCCATCCACCCACCCATCCATCCACCCACCCATCCATCCATCCATCCATCCATCCATCCATCCATCCATCATCTATCCATCCATAATCTATCCATCCATCATCTATTCATCCACTTATGGAACAGATACTTAGTGCTTACGCATGTATAGTGCTCCATTGTGCTCCAGGGATGCAATGTGAATATGATACATCCCTTGTTTCCAAGATGTTCACGGTCTCCTGGTCTCCTAGTCTCTTCATGGTCCGTTGATCTTACTGTGACTGTGTTTCCCCAGGTAATGAACACAGAAGAGATTCATCAAAGTGCTGAGTAACCTCTGGCAGCTTGAGAAAGTGCTCTGGCCGTGAACCCAGGAGGGTGCCGTGGTCCTGAGTGTGTGCTCTAGCTCTTGCTGAAGAACTTTTAGAAAAAGCACCAATTCTCTAGACCTCTTAGCAGGAGCTTTCAGGGAGGCAATTTCTTTCTTTCTTAGCCCAGGTATTTCTGGACCTGGAATCTCTCTTCAGGCTGACGAAGGACAACATTTGTTCTGGTTTAACCGTGGTCCGGGCTACCTTCTCTTTAGGAAGTAGGCTCCTGTTTCACACAGACGAATGACCGGTATGGGAAGAGGGCAAGAGGTTGGGAGAAGTCACGCTTCCTGAGTGCTGCCAAGGGCCTGGGACGCCACACACCTTCCCTTTGGGTGAACAATTACCCAGAGATATTGGGGGTTAGTAGGGGATGCACACCCCTCTCTGTATGATATCTGTTTATAATTTTAACCGAAATGATTTCTAAAGTACTATGTCATAAGTTAAGTTGCTTAAAGCAGTATGATCCAGTCATTGCCCTCACAGAGGTAAAAATATTAAGCACATACAAAATCAAATAATCTCAGAAAAAAATGAAGTTATAGTAAATGAGAGGATTCTAGGGACCCGGAGTTTCCTAGGATGCACAGATCACAGACAGCATGAAAGTTTATTTTCAGTTATTATGCAAATGTTTTTAAATTCCATTCATTTTCATATGCATTAGGAAAATCTAAGCCTAGTATATACCTAATCTTTGAGTACATGAATACTGTTGCTTACTCTAATGATACTGAATGAGCTGATTTAAAGACAGCATAGAGGAATGTGTCATGAAGCAGCCATTTCTAAGGGTGTGACCAGGAACACAATGTGGAGTCTACGCACTATCTGAATGGCCTGACATTGAGAAATGGAGATCATGTTCTCTCTGGGAGACAGAGAGGTTAAATGAGTTACCCACGGTCAGAAAAGATCAGAGAGACCGGAACATGGTCACCTGACTTTGTCCTCACGTCCTCTTTCAACCACTACTTCCTCCTCTGCAGACAAGGAGACAGCAGCTCGGCTAGTGAGCCATCTGTTTTGAAGAGAGACTCCTGTGAGAATCTGGCTGCAAAGTAGAAAGCACAGACTTGGTTCAGAGCAAAACCAAAGCTAGAATGTTTACTGTTCGCCTGTCTTACAAAGATCTCTCATTGATTAGCATATGCTAATCCTCAAACCACTCTGTGAGATGCTGTTAGATGTTGGGATAATGTTTTTTTGTTTGTTTGGCTTTTTTTTTTTTTTTTTTTTTTTTTTTTTTTTTGTATTTTGAGACAGGGTTTCTCTGTAGCTTTGAAGCCGGTCCTAGAACTAGCTCTTGTAGACCAGATTGGCCTTGAACTCACAGAAATCCTCCTGCCTCTGCCTCCTGAGTGCTGGGATTAAAGGCATGTGCCACCATTGCCCAGCTGGGATAATCTTTTTGTACATAGTGTGAAGATGTGTCTCTGTCCTTTCTCACCTGTCTAAGGTACCTTCTGATTGGTTTAATAAAGAACTTAACATCCAATAGCTAGGCAGGAATAGGATAGGCGGGACTTCCGGGCTGAGATAGGAACTCAGGTTGGAAGAATCTGAGGCAGGAGATTTATTTGCCAGTCAGATGTGGAAGACATTGTATGTATGGTACTGGAGAGAGGTAATGAGCCACGTAGCAGAACATAGATTAATATAAATGGGTTAATTCAAGTTTTAAGAGCTAGTTGAGAAGAAGCATTAGCTAAGGCCAAGCTTTCATGATTAATAAGAAGTCTCTGTGTTATTATTTGGGAACTGGCGTTGTACAGAAAGTCCTGCTGCAATTAGATATTCCCATAGTCCTTCTTTTTCCCAGGGAAAAATGAAGGAACGAAGATCAAGGGCTTTTTCACACTTTAACTTGCAGACCTGAGATCTGAACCTGGCTCTTTCAGCTCTAGAATGTGTTCCCTTGACCATTACACAGCACACCAATACGTGAGGAGGTAAGGGGACCGTCTTGTACCTCTACGACCCTGGAGCTATTCTGCTCAGTGTGGGGGACATCCTTCCCACCCCACACCTCAAATTTGCCAGTTTGTCCTGGTTCATCCTGTGGAAGACAGGCACAGTTTCTTCTTGACCATCAACTTTTCTTTTTTCAGCAAGGTCCCCCAGCACCGTCCCAGGCTGTCCTAGAACTCATGCTTCCCCTGTCTCAACCCTCTGAGTGCTGGGATTGCAGAAACCCCCCAAGAGAGACCTACGGTTCTTTCATAAGAACAATTCATTCGTGTATAACATTGAAAACTAAAAGCAAGACCTCTATCTCCAAGGCTGAGATGGTCATCACCACTGGGCGGCGAATAGGGATGGCATAGCGGGGGTCATGTGGGTTCATGGCAAAGCTTGTTGACAGGAGCAGAGGCCCAGGGCACTGCAGGGGCTCACCAGGTGCTGAGAAAGCCCTGCCTGCTGTATGGTGCTTGGCACAGTCCTTGGTAGAGCGCTGGCATTCAGAGCCAAGAATGATTGGAAGCCTGGATGGAAACAGTTAGGCAGGGAAGTGGGCAGCAGTGTGGCGATCTGAGGTGAGAGGGCAGCATCTTGTGCCAGGTAAGCCGGGAGGAGAGGAGAGTGCTGAGTTTCGGGTCCACAGGGAAGGGAACCTCTCACAGATCACTCAACAGCTTGCTTCAGTAGCGAGGTTTCCCGGCTCTGAGAGAATCTTTCACCTTTGTCTTATGTTATAGCAAGCCTCGTTCCAGCTTAGATGACAGACCTCGGTCTCCCTCCCTATAAGGTACTTGCTGGGGTGGCACGGAGGCCATCTGGGTCCTGTCATTCCTCTGCACTGGGGCGCAAAGAGAATCAGCCTGTGGGCTCTTTATCTCCCCGCAGGTGCTGACAGCTGAGCCATTCCACACACCTTTGGGGCAAAGAAGCGCCGGAAGCCAGAGCAGGGCCAAGTTCAAAGACTGGACATTCTTTCCGAGGCTACCAGAAGCAGCCCCGAGGGCCGGCTCCGGCATTACATAAGCATCAGGTTAGCAGGTCTGTCACTGAGGCACTCAGCCTTGGCCTCTCGGACTTGCGCAACTAAGTGCGCAGAAGCACTTGTTCCGTGTGGCAACAGGGCTACATGGTTATCAAATACGTGGTGCATCCGCCCAGACTCACTTAGACGACACCAAAGCTCTTCACCACCAGGTGGTTAAAGCTGCCTGATAGGGTTGGCAGCAGGCAAAGCCATGACTTACTGTAGCTCTTGGCCCAAGCCACCGAACACTCAGTACCTTGTACCCCGTTAGCCTTGGGCAGTAAAGCCTCTGATAAAATGTTCTTTTTTGCTGTTTGTTTTTCCTGGCAGTCCCATTTTGGGATATAAATGGCTCATTATTTCCATCCCATAGATCCATTCTTGCTTTCTGAAATAACGGAAAGATTGGTTAAAAAAAAAATCATCATTGGGGCGACCCCTCCTCTCCCCAAGTGTTGTGACCTTGAACAGAGGCCGAGTTTCCACAGTGCTCTGGCCATCTAGAGTTGAGCCAGCATGGGAGAGAAGGCGTCTGCGAACAGGAGATATAAATATATTTACACTAAAGTGCTTGGTGCTGTTTAATGCCAGGAAGTGTCACAGACAACAACCCCCCTCCTCGCCGTCACCGGAGCCCCCGCAATCTGCAACCTTCTCAGAGGACACAGGGCAAGCGTCAGAGGTTAGGAAGTTGGAGCAGGGTCCTTCCCCAGATGGGTCATTTTCCCTGCAGGGCAGTTTGGAGGCAAATTTTATTAAGGATCAAGTAGCTGGCCCAAGGCAGTATAAATAGTGAGAAAAGCATGTGACAGACAGTCCCAGAAATGAATGTGGCTTAGACCCAGGCAGAAGGCGCCCGCTCTGTTTACTGTTACTGGGCGCTTTGCGTGGAGATGTCTCCCCAGCAACCATCCAGAAGCGGTGTGTGGGACTGTGGACACACACTTGCTGAGGCTTAGTACCCAAATCTTTAGAGACGTCGCCGTACTCTTGGGAACGGGTGAACCACACAGCTAATTCAGGGAAGGAGCCGGGACAGGAGGAGACTGTCATTAGGAAGCAGAGGCTGGCCCCTAAAAGCTTCCCCAGATTAGCCTGTGCTATTGAGGGCAAAACATCGACTCGTGTCTTAATATTGTATAGAAACCGTCACATCAGAAACAGACAAGAAAGGCCACAAGTTGGAATTTTCCCAGGATGTTCTTGAATGAATTTAATGTACCCGGTTAGCTTGCTTTGCTGTTGCCTCTCTTTAGGGTAGACCCCAAGTGTAAGCCAAGCTTTAGGGAAATGGATCAAGCCTGAAGAACTGAGTGATGAGAACCACGGAGCTATTGAAGAGCAATGTCTTCTTAAACTAGCTGTCTCTTGTCCATCCTGTCCCCACTGTCCAGAGTTGTTGACACCTTGTAACATCCACTGGAGAAGGCTCTTAGGATAGGAAGGGTGCCGCGTGTTCCCACTTCAACAGATTTCCAAAGTACCCCCTGGGCGCGTTCACCTTCTGCAGCAGGACTTCCTCTACTTCTTCTATACCTGAACTCTAAGTGGACTGAGAAGGATGACAGTGTTGCCAGGGTCCCATCCTCCTAGAGGGGACGGTAGCCACCTGAATATATCATACCCTGTCTATATATATATATACTTTGCATCCAGAACCTAGATATAGAAGGCTACTGACTTCCAGAGGCCAGTGACCAGGAGGAACCAATGCCCTCAGAATTCCTCCCGGAGGGTGTTAGGACACGGATGGGGGCCCTGTTTCCTCCTCCTAACCTCACTCTCATTCTGGCAAAGACTAATTTACTCCTTAGCCAATATTTATTCTGTTTCTTTTCCTATGAAAACAATTCTAGCCTGGCAAAATTCCTGGCTAGGAGACATTTCCCAGCCTCTCTCATAGTAGGAATGGCACAGGGCAGGTGCTTACATAAATTTGAATTTTGTCAAGCGAATTTTTTTTTAATTATAAGCATGTATGTGTGCCTGGCATAGTATTTTTAATGGTTTCTTTATTTTTATTTTATGTGTACAAGTGCTTTGTCTGCATGCATGTATGTGTGTATGTGTGTGCCTGGTACCCAAGGAGACCGGAAGAGGGCCTTAGATCCCCTAGAACTGGAGTCACAGACTGTTGTGAGTTGTCCTGTGGGCACTGGGGGCTGAACTCAAGTCCTCTGCAAAAGCAGTCAGTGCACTTAACCACTGGACCATCTCCCCAGTTCCCAATATTTTTGTATTTGTACTTGTCAAATATGGCAAATCTGTACACAGGGATTTTGGAATGAAGATATATGTATATCTTTGTTCTTTGTTCTCCTCTCCTTTCTCTCCTCGGACATAGAGAACTGGGACTTTAGCAATCACCTGGAGACGTGTGGTCAAGGGCAGCAGAAACTGACAACAGAGGGCCTGGGGTCTATGGTGAATATCCACCTTCAGAGGTTCTGATTTGTGTGTGTGTGTGAATAAACCATTGGTCCACATTAGCTACTGTGCTATCTCTGATCTGTATCAACCTGCTGCTAGGTATTCCTATGATACAGCCCTGATATACCATAAAGTAGCATTTTATTCATCATAATTGTCTCAAGTATAAACATATATACTGTACATATATACACAATTTTTTTTCTTTGAGACAATGTCTTAGGTACCCCAGATTGTCCCTGAACTCTCTATATATCCAAGGCTGGTCTTGAACTCTTGATCTTCGTGCCTCTGCCCCCGAGTACTGGGATTACAGTTATGTGCCTCCACACCCAAATTAGTTACTGTGCTTTGTAAGGTCTCTGAGAGACATGGGGTTGTATTCCTTCTGTCCTTTGCAAAAGAAGCTCTCAAACTGAGCCCAGTCCACAGTGCTTGGTCCCTGGCTGTTTGCTGCCATTGTGTATTTTGAGCCCTTGTTTCATACAGTAATATTTCAAAAGCCAAATGGTTCTAAACTTCCGCACAGACCTTCTGCCTGTAACTCAGCTCATGTCTACTGATCTACTTAAACCTCAGCTATCTTTCAAGAAGGTATCGCTAGCTTCTCTCATATGGCACAAAGGTGAATTCAGGATAGGTGTGTGTCCAGACAAGGTCATTTATAAAGTCAGTAACTTAGAGCGAAGGTGCTAGCCATGGTGGCATAGTCCTATACTGCCAGCACTCAGGAGGCTGAGGCAGGGGGACTTCCAGTTTCAGGACAGCCTGGGGTATGCAGGGAGTTCAAAGCCAGCTGCAGCTATACGGGGAGATCCAGTTTCAAAGGCAACCACAGCGAAATCAGGAATGGAATCAAATACAGCTCCTTCAGCAAGTCATGACCTTGAAGGTCCTCTGTGAGACATTCTGAGTAGTAGAGTGAAGGGGTCAAACCTCCCTTTGCATATAAGGCTGAGCTACTGGTTATAAGGGGAAAGAGTGGTTGGCTGGGCTGTGGACTGTATAAATACCTGACTCCTTTTCTGCAGTGGAATCTTTTGAAGGTTAAGTGATTGTAAATTATCAACCACACTTTCTCAGATTGGCTGCACTTACGTTTCTCTAAAAGACTCTCACCAACACCTCCCTCCCCCAAGACAAGCAACTGTGAAACTGAGAGCAGACTTTCCTTATGGGAATCCTTTTACAAACAAGCAGAGAACAAGATTAGGACCCGTCTAGCTGGCGGAGGCTGCCCTCAGGAGGTGGCTAGACTTTGTGATGTGAGTTAGAATTTAATGGGGAGAGGAAGCAGGAAGCTGCAAACACTGTTTTGGAAGGCTCTACACGGGACTCCCAGCTCCAGCAGACAGCAAGGAAGGGTGAGGACAGGGGTATAGAGAACTGTGGAGACAAACCTCAGGACAACACAGGCGATGTCACAAATAACAGAAGCAAAGGACCCAGAAGAATAAGCCATCCACGAACAGAGAAAGATCAGCCCAGAGCATCTGCCCTGGGAATCTGCTGAGAGGTAATGATGTCATGGTTGACATCTCCGGGGCGATGACGGACGAATTGTTTTGTAGGCATCCAAACCACAGACATAAATAAAAGCGGCACAGAATTGAGTTGGATGGATAAAAACACATCATGTGTGTTCATTGGTGTCTTGCCCATCGTGTTAAGGGTGAGGAAGAAATATGTTTGATAGTCATTCTGGGACAGACATGCGACACATGTCTCCGCAGGTTGAGGCAGGAAGATCACGAGTTTGAGGCTAACCTGAGCTACACAGTGAGTTTTGGGTCAGCTTGGACCACATAGTGAGAGTCTGTCTCCAAACAAAACAGAAAACAAAACAAAGCTCTAGCGATTGAACATCGACTAGGTTACCAGGCCTCGTGGTCAGGAATGTACCCTGTTTTATAGTGCCGGTCAGGCAGGGTAACAACGCCTTTGAACTTCCCAAGAGCATTGCAACTTTACAAGGTCCTTCCCTTCCCTGCTTTAAGAGCACAGCTGAAGCCAGTCACCTTCTGTGTCCTGTGCTCTCTTTAATGGCTGTTATTTTAACGAAAGTGCAGTAACGAATGTGCTGGTTAGGCAAGTTTATGAAGTACTCTCAGTTTTAAAATAGGCTTATGGTAAGCCCTCCAATAAAAATGAGAAGACTGCTTTAGGTTTAGTTTTCCTCTGCTCCTAATTAATCTGTTTTCCTTTCTTTATGACTAAGTTTAAACATTTATCAAATGAGCCGTTGAGTGTAGGACAAGAGGACTTAGCGACTCCCTGTTTAGCATAGGCAGTAAGTGGAGGCTGACAGACCTCCCAGAACTGGTCGCTAGACCCCTTCAAACTGTGCGGACTTGCACATCTTGCTTAAATGTCTTGAGGTCTGTGTTTCCACATCTGAGATATGGGGAAACTGTGGTATTTGTCATGAAGATAAACTCGATTGAAAGATTAGGTAACTGGCTCCTTGAAGGCCAAAACATGCCCTAGCAAACGTAGTGTCTTTTCGTACTCCTCAGAAATTATTGGATCTCTTAGTTTATTGCTCGTTTATCTGTATATCTGTATGTCTGCAGCTATCAATAGATTGATCAGTTCATCTATGTATCACCATGGATAGCTCAGTGAGTGTTATCCAAACATACTGGGAGCACCATGGTAACATGGACTCTTTCCCCCAGCAATAACCCTACGTCTCACTCCTCATTCTACCCTTAACAACCAACTGGAGGTTTTCTGTTTTTAAAGGGGAGATCTGAAGTGTCTGACATTTACCTGGCTCCTAGCTTCTCTGTTCCCCTTCACTCTTTTCTTAGACTCTCGCTCCCTCTTTTGAGTGAGGAGGAGGGAGAAGGGAAAGCCTGCTACCACTTAC